GCTGGCCCAGCATGCGGAATATGTAGGGCACGCACTTCTCCATCCACTCGCCCTCGTCCTCGTAGTGGTTGGGGTTGCTGGGGTTTGACACCCAGCTGCGGGCGCGCCTTCCCAGGACGCGCTTGAAGCGGTTCAGGGCCCTGGTATGCATGCGCTCGGCCTCCCTCGTCTCGGGGTCCATCTTCACCTCGGACTGGCCGCCTGGAAATCGGTCCCCTGAGCCTCCGCCGACGAAGAACCTCAATTGCGTGAAGTAGTCGCTAAGGTGCATCAGCTTCTTGCCCCTCAAGCTGGCCTTGGGGCCCTTGATGGGCCTCACACGCGCCTGGTGGCCGAAGCTGAAGCACGGCGGGCCCCCTCGACCGCGGTAGAAACTGGCCTCCTCGGACCCGATCTGGTACGCCGACGCCAACTCGTCCTCCACGCCCCCGCACAGGGTCTGGCACGCCTCAGTGAGGGCCTGCATGTCGCTGCCCCTGTCGATCTGCGGCTTCACGGTGCTGTGATCCCAATACTTCTCTAGCATGGTCCCGAAGGGCCTCGCCTTGGGAAACGCCATCGGCCCCTTGACCCTGAACGACTGGCCCAGGTCGCCGTAGCAGGTGAGGCTGAGCTTGGCAGCCACGTGGGGCCTGCACGGGCTGGCGTACCCCTTGGCCGCCATGTCGAGGCGCGAGCAGTCCACGACACGGTCCAACAGCTCGGCGCTGACGATGAACCAGTCGAGCTCGGACGGCTCCTTGGCCAGGGAGTGCTGGCAGATACCCTCGCCCGTGTCGGCGACGTGCCCCCCTATCTTGCAGAGCCAGTTGCCCGCGCGCTGGTGGAACCTGTCGGGCTCGACGTTCCAGTCGCCAGCGAGGACCCACGGCTTGCCCGTGCGCTTGAGGAGCACGCCTAACTCCTGCAGCACGTGCTTACTGTTCTCGCCTACGCCATCGTTGTCCAGGTAGATCGAGCCCAGCAGGAAGCCGCCAGGCACTACCCCGCTGATGTGCGTAACCGTGGCCCTCCCGTCGGCGACGTGGCAGCTGGACTTGCAGCCCTGGGCGCCTGGGCCGCACATGCCGCGCGCTGTGCGCACGGCGACGCCAGTGCCGCCACTGACGGCGCGCTGCTGCGAAGCGCCCATGGTGCCGACGCCAGGGGTCAGCACGGCGCTCCAGCCCACTTGCCTGCACCACTGCTCCTGCTCCTCGGCGCGGTAGCCGTTGAGGTGGTGCTCCTGGAAGCACATCGCGTCGCCGATGTGGGCCTCGGCGACCTCCTGCTGCTGGGGGCCCTGCTGCGCGCCGAGGATGGTGGTGAAGGGGCCCCAGCCGCTGCCGTTGAGGCTGACGACCGTGAAGATGGGCCTGCTACCCCCGCTTCCCCCTTCTCCTGATCCTCGCGGACCGAAGGGTTTGGAGGAGCTTCTGGGCGCGCTGCCTGCGCTTGGCATCAGCCTGCGCCGCGGGGTCCGCGGCAGGGGAACCGCCACCGCCCTCTCCGCCAGCGGCTACCGAGGCGCCCTCCTCCGAGGCGTCTTCTTCCATGCTTTCCAGGATGTTGGAGATGTCGGCCTCG